TGAGGATGGCAAAAGTCAGCGGTACATTGCCCATACGTTGGGTATACCCCGAAAACAGTTCAGGATGCCTGGAATCGATATGTGGAAACAGGAAATTTTACTATGCGGCAAGGTTGCGGTAGAAGACGAGTGACAATAGCAGTTGATGACCAGCTGTAGAAACTCCGCATCGTCTTTAAATGGTGCGTGAGGTTGACGTAAGTGAAAGAACCATTCGGCGAAGACTTGCTGAAAGTGATCTGACTGCAAGAAGTCTTGCCAAAAGTCTTCAATTTGGACACGTACATATGAATTGGGGAATGGAACAATGGGGTAAGGTGCTCTTCACTGACGAGTTCCGATTTTGTCTCCAGTCACCTAATGATGGAGAACGAGTGTGGAGAGGTCATAATGAAAGGTCTGCGACATGCACAATTTCGGAAAAAGTACCTTCCCATGGAGGTTCGGTCATGGCATGGGTGGATATTTCGACGGAAGCGCATACAGCGCTCATCTTTGTTGAAAATGGCAGGCTAAATTCCCACTGTTATATACAAGATATTCTGCAAGAAGCTGTCTTGCCTTTAGTGGTAACGGATTTATGCTAATGCATAACAATGCGTGACCGCTCGTAGCACGTGTGGTTAGCGAATATCTTGATGAGGTAGGTATTGAACGGATGGAGTGAAGATTAAAAATCTGTATAGGCTTCTTTGGAAATTCCCGGCCAGAGTTCACAAATCTTTTATTTCAACGTTTTAATATCATCCGTAAAAAGGACTTTCCTCCATTGCGATCTCAAAATTCACATGTAATTGCGCAGATTGAAGACGCGTTCGTCGATATCTTGGAAGTAGCCTCGGTCCTTTGGCAGCCAGACCACTTCTAGCAAGCTTTCAGCGAATGGTTCTCTCACTAACATCAACAACATGCAACATTTGAAGACGACGCCGAGCTTCTACAGCTATCGTTCCACGATTGCTTAGAACAATAAGCAATCAGCTACTATTGTCACTCATCTTGTTTTCATGCGACCGCTTTAAAATACTGCATCTTCATTAGTAACAGAGATAATTGAGAGAGATAAAAAAAGAAAATGCTCAGAAAAGATTGGGGTACTGTTTGATTCCAAATAATACCCTCTGCTATAGCAGCNATTGTGATTTTTTGATGCATTAGGAGTATTTTTTATACATAACGTATTTCTCCATCAGTTTTAGTACTTAGGTTGTAGTTGATTTTTTATTAACAAAATTCGTCCAATTTTGACATTTTGTGATTTATGCTATATCACTAGAATCTAGTGATAAATAAATACGAAATAACTGTCCATTGTGATTTATTGATGCATTAGGAATATTTTTTATTTATAACATCTTTCTCCATCAGTTTTAGTACTTAGGTTGTACTTGATTTTATTAAGAAAAATCGTCCAATTTTGACATTTTGTAATTTATGCTATATCACTAGAAATTGGTGATAAGTAAATATGAAATAAGTGTGGATTGTGATTTCTTGATGCATTAGGAATATTTTTATTCATAACGTTTTTCTCCATCAGTTTTAGTACTTAGGTTGTAGTTGATTTTTTATTACCAAAATTCGTCTAATTTTGACATTTTGTCATTTATGCTATATCACTAGAATCTAGTGATAGATAAATACGAAATAACTGTCCATTGTGATTTATTGATGCATTAGGAATATTTTTTATTCATAACGTCTTTCTCCATCAGTTTTAGTACTTAAGTTATAGTTGATTTTATTAAGAAAAATCGTCCAATTTTGACATTTTGTGATTTATGCTATATCACTAGAATCTAGTGATAGATAAATACGAAATAACTGTCCATTGTGATTTATTGATGCATTAGGAATATTTTTTATTCATAACGTCTTTCTCCATCAGTTTTAGTACTTATGTTGTAGTTGATTTTATTAACAAAAATCGTCTAATTTTGACATTTTGTCATTTATGCCATATCACTAGAGTCTGGTGATAGATAAATATGAAATAAGAGTGGATTATGATTTATTGATGCATTAGGAACATTTTTTATTGATAACGTGTTTCTCCATCAGTTTTAGTACTTAGGTTGTAGTTGATTTTTTCCAAAATAATCGTCTAATTTCGACATTTTGTGGTGTATGCTATATCACTAGATATTGGTTGTAGATAAATATGAAATAGGTATGGCTTTTCATTTCTTGATGCATTAGGAATATTTTTTATTCATAACGTGTTTCTCCATCAGTTTGAGTACTTAGGTTGTAGTTGATTTTTTCCAAAATAATCGTCTAATTTCGACATTTTGTGATTTCTGCTATATTACTAGAAATTGGTGATAGATAAGTATGAAATAACTGTCAATTGTGATTTATTGATGCGTTAGGAATATTTTTTATTCATAACATCTTTCTCTATCAGTTTTAGTACTGCCATTATAGTTGATGTTAAGAAAAATCGTCCAATTTTGATATGTTGTGATTTATGCTATATCACTAGAAATTGGTGATAGATAAATATGAAATAAGTGTGGATTGTGACTTCTTGATGCATTAGGAATATTTTTTATTTATAACATCTTTCTCCATCAGTTTTAGTACTTAGGTTGTAGTTGATTTTATTAAGAAAAATCTTCCAATTCTGACATTTTGCGATTTATGTTATATCACCAGAAATTGGTGATAGATAAGTATAAAATAACTGTCAATTAGGATTTATTGATGCATTAGGAATATTTTTTATTTATAACATCTCTCTCCATCAGTTTTAGTACTTCCATTATTTTTAGTTGATGTTATTACAAATACAAATATCTTTATTTACTGTAACAACAAATTTACAATAACATGTCCACAAACAAGAAAAACAAAAAAAGTGTATTATCAATGTTAATTCTTATCAATTTCATTCACTGCCTCCCTAATAAATTCCTCAAAACTGTAATATGCACTTTCAATTAGGTGTTTTCTTATAATTATATTGAATTTACTTCTTGACATTGCCGCAATGGAGGGTGGAACTATGTTGAAAAATTTTGAACCCCAATAGTCCATCGATTGTTGTGTTTTTGAGAGTCGGTGATATGGTGTAGCAAAATAGCAAGATCTAGTTGCATAACTGTGTGATTCGCCGAGTGTTTGGAAAGTATTCCTATTATCGTACACGTACATTAACACCGTATGTATGTATATACTTAATTAAGAAAAATCGTCCAATTTTGACATTTTGTGATTTATGCTATATCACTAGAAATTGGTGATAGATAAATATGAAATAAGTGTGGATTGTGATTTCTTGATGAATTAGGAATATTTTTATTCATAACGTCTTTCTCCATTACTTTTGGCACTCATGTTATAGTTGATTTTATTAAGAAAAATCGTCCAATTTTGACATTTTGTGATTTATGCTATATCACTAGAAACTGGTGATAGATAAATATGAAATAATTATGGATTATGATTTCTTGATGCATTAGGAATATTTTTTATTCATAACGTCTTTCTCCATCAGTTTTAGTACTTAAGTTATAGTTGATTTTATTAAGAAAAATCGTCCAATTTTGACATTTTGTGATTTATGCTATATCACTAGAAACTGGTGATAGATAAATATGAAATAATTATGGATTATGATTTCTTGATGCATTAGGAATATTTTTTATTCATAACGTCTTTCTCCATCAGTTTTAGTACTTAAGTTATAGTTGATTTTATTAAGAAAAATCGTCCAATTTTGACATTTTGTGATTTATGCTATATCACTAGAAACTGGTGATAGATAAATATGAAATAATTATGGATTATGATTTCTTGATGCATTAGGAATATTTTTTATTCATAACGTCTTTCTCCATCAGTTTTAGTACTTAAGTTATAGTTGATTTTATTAAGAAAAATCGTCCAATTTTGACATTTTGTGATTTATGCTATATCACTAGAAACTGGTGATAGATAAATATGAAATAATTATGGATTATGATTTCTTGATGCATTAGGAATATTTTTTATTCATAACGTCTTTCTCCATCAGTTTTAGTACTTAAGTTATAGTTGATTTTATTAAGAAAAATCGTCCAATTTTGACATTTTGTGATTTATGCTATATCACTAGAAACTGGTGATAGATAAATATGAAATAATTATGGATTATGATTTCTTGATGCATTAGGAATATTTTTTATTCATAACGTCTTTCTCCATCAGTTTTAGTACTTAAGTTATAGTTGATTTTATTAAGAAAAATCGTCCAATTTTGACATTTTGTGATTTATGCTATATCACTAGAAACTGGTGATAGATAAATATGAAATAATTATGGATTATGATTTCTTGATGCATTAGGAATATTTTTTATTCATAACGTCTTTCTCCATCAGTTTTAGTACTGAAGTTATAGTTTATTTTATTAAGAAAAATCGTCCAATTTTGACATTTTGTGATTTATGCTATATCACTAGAAACTGGTGATAGATAAATATGACATAAGTGTGGATTATGATTTCTTGATTCATTAGGAATATTTTTTATTCATAACTTCGTTCTCCATCAGTTTTTATACTTAGGTTGTATTTGATTTTATTAAGCAAAATCGTTCAATTCTGACATTTTGGGATTTATGCTACATCACTAGAAATTGGTGATAGATAAATATGAAATAAGTGTGGATTGTGATTTCTTGATGCATTAGGAATATTTTTTATTCATAAGGTCTTTCTCCATCAGTTGTAGTACTTAGGTTGTATTTGATTTTATTAAGCAAAATCGTTCAATTCTAACATTTTGGGATTTATGCTACATCACTAGAAATTGGTGATAGATAAATATGAAATAAGTATGCATTATGATTTCTTGATACATTAGAAACATTTTTTATTCATAACATCTTTCTCCATCAGTTTTAGTACTTCCGTTATAGTTGAGTTTATTAAGAAAAATCGTCAAATTTTGACATTTTGGGATTTATGCTATATCTGACAGCTAATTAAAAAAATATTTGATTACATTTTGATTAAAAATGTCAAAAAATATAAAAAAACATCAAAAACGAAGTAATATTCCAATATGGATAGGAACCCTTGTAAAACGAAAACACAAAATAACTCATTGCATCTTTGATTTAGACGGTACAATAATAAATAGTGAAGAGATACATCAAAAAGCAATAAAAGAAATAATGTTAAAATACAACAAAGATTACACAATCGAATTACAATTGAATACTTTAGGAAGAACCGCCGAAGAAGTTTGTAAAATTCTCATAGAAGATGGAAACGTCCCGATTTCATTCGAAAAGTGTTTAAAAAGTTTCGAACATAAAACGACAACGAACCTATCTCGGTGTAAATTAATGCCGGGCGTTGAAAAACTTTTAGACCATTTACATAAAAATAACATACCAATAGCGTTAATAAGTACGTCGACCCAAGAAGAAATCGATTTAAAATTGTCACCTTTTGTCGATTTAAGAAAAATGTTTCATCACGAAATCGCGGGTGGAAGCGATAAATCGGTATTGAGAAACCCCCCATTTCCCGATTTATTAAACGTGTGCGTTAAAAGATTTTGCACCGATTGGGAGAACAAAAAAACCTTAGTTTTTGACGATTCCCCAATCGGCGTTCAAGCCGCGAATGTGGCTCAAATGAAAATCGTTTTGATTCAAAAATTAGAAATTCCTAAAAATATTAGTAAAGCTACGAATTGTATTTTAGATAGTTTAGAGGAATTTCAACCCGAAAATTTTGGATTTCCACGTTATGGAGAATAATTTTTTTTGAAATGTTATCTTTTCAAGTAATAAATAAAGTAACCAGATGTGGTTTTATTGATAAATAAAGCGATAACCTTCAATTTATTGCTTTAAATTAATTTATGATGCATAAATGATGTAAGTTTAAACCCGAATGATTTTAGTTCTGTCTTTTTAGTGACTAAAATATCGAAGATAATAGATATTAATTATTAAGTTATAATCATTTTTAGAGCCAGATGTTGTTTTATTGATAAATAAAACGAATAATACGATAACCTTCAATACGTGTCGATAAATTTATGGGGTTCAAAAATAAACGTTCGTTACCCCGAATAAATTTTTAAACACATAAATTCAGATTTATAATAATTATATTATTTAATTTATTGCTTTCAATATCTTGTTTACTTCTCCTTGATTAAAATTTTTTCATTTTTATGCTTATTTTACTGTAATTGCAGCAATTAACTAAATCCGTGATATAACATTAAAAACAAAAAAAAATAAGTGAAAGATAACGTTTCCATCAAAGATAAATGATTTTTTATTCGCACTTAGATAACGAGATAAATTTTTAGAATTGTTAGTGTTGAGTTTTCCTAAACATTTTAAGTTAAACACATTTTTTGTTTCACAAACGACCTTATCGTTAAAGTTATTAAGTTTTTACGTTGGCGTTAATTTATTTTTGCGTTTTACAAAGTATAAATATTAATTGTTAATGTTCAAGTAAATGCTTTGCTTCTTAATATTTTGGGTGAGTATTAATCTCTTTATTATAGTTAAAATTTAAAACATTTCATAGCATATGGTCGTTTTTATTTTATTAAAACCAGTAAATTTCCATACGTTACAAGTTGTTTTGATAACCTTTTAGATTTTCCTTTTATTCCTCTCTTTGTGTCTAGCGTGTTTATCGTGTTTGTTGTTGTTTCTGTAGAAATGTGTAGTTTTTATCAAATTTTTTATAACAATACCAGATTTATTCATGTAATAGTTATTTTTTGTATCATTTTTTTATTAGGCTCAAAGTGGGGCGAATAATAAACCGAAAGGCAAGATGAAAGAAGAAAAGCAACCGTTATTAGACAGCGATTTAAGCGAGTATGAATCACCTCATCCAACTCATTCGGCCGTCAGCATGGAAAACGTGGCTTCTTTTAAATTTGATCCGGTATTAAATCGAGATATTGATCATCCAACATCGAATATCGACACTATGATACATCTTTTAAAAGGAAATATAGGAACTGGGATTCTTGCAATGCCCGATGCTTTCAAGTATTAATTAATTAACTTATTTTTTATAAATACTTTATTTTTTTTTAATTTAGGAATGCTGGTTTGGCTGTAGGGATGGTTGGAACTCTTCTTATGGGATTTATTTGCACCCATTGTATGCATATGTTAGTTAATTGTGCCCATGAACTTTGCAGAAGAACAAATAGAAGCGCAATGGGATTTTCTGAAGTCGCTGAAATGGCTATGCAACTAGGTCCAGCTCCTTTTCAAAAATTTTCAAAATCCGTTAGGTAATTAATTAAAGGATGGTAGAATCTAAGAGAATAACAATTAAAACTAGAACTAGCACTAAAACTCTTACTCTCTACTAACATAGACGAGTTCTAGACCAAACATTCTAGACAGCCGTTCTTGGCACCAAAACATACTACATCATGTTGCTTAAGCATGTTTTGAATCCTAAATTGATATCCCAAAAATCGAGTGTTTTCTGATTTTTTGAAAAAATGTCTGCTGGAACAAATTTTTCTAGAAAAATTCAAATAACTCGAGAACACCTGATTCAAATTGCAAAAAGTAAAGTTATTTATAAATCTTGAAAACGGACAAATCCAAATATGTAAAAATATATAGGGTGTTCCATTTAAAAAAATTAAATAAGTGGCGACTTCCGGTATACCCGGAAGTGCTAAAAATCTAAAAATACTTTAGTCGAAGAGAACGCAATTGATAATACTTAAGGTTGAATACTCAAATTTTTATTTTGGCCAGAACCCCAGAAATGTCTAATAATCGGTCTCGCTGAGACACCCTATATATACAGGGTGAGTTTTTTTTTAAAATTATTGCTTAAATAGAAAAATCAGTTAGACTGCTTTATTAAACATGTAATACCCTACAAATTGTTTCTTTACTCATTTTTCCTAAAATCAATAATAACGGAGCCATAGGTATCGAACGATATAACAAAAAATCGGTTTTTTTTTTTGAGATATCTAGTTAGCCATGCATTTCATCCAAAAGACAAAAAGCTCATTAAATTGAGTTCATGAAACTGCAATTCTTTCCCTATTTAATCGTCTCTTTATCTCCGCTAGTTTTCAAGATCTCTATACTAAACATGGAAAAAAACTCACCCTGTATATATGTTAAATAAAATAAAAGCGCGACGTCAGTTTAGAACACATACTAGCCGCATGTCAATGGATTTGTACTATTGACATGTGGGTAGTATGTGTTCCAGACTGACGTCGCGCTTTTATTTTACCTACATAAATAAATAAAGACGCGACGTCTAGTCTAGAACACACACTGGTGATAGATAAATATGAAATAAGTGTGTATTATGATTTCTTGATGGATTAGGAATATTTTTTATTCATAATGTCGTTCTCCATCTGTTTTAGTACTTAGGTTGTATTTGATTTTATTAAGAAAAATCGTCCAATTTTGATATTTTGTAATTTATGCTATATCATTAGAAATTGGTGATAGATATATATGAAATAAGTGTGGATTATGATTTCTTGATGCATTAGGAATATTTTTTATTCATAACGTCTATCTCCATCAGTTTTAGTACTTAGGTTGTAGTTAATTTTATCAAGAAAAATCGTCCAATTTTGACATTTAGTGATTTATGCTATATCACTAGAAATTGGTGATAGATAAATATGAAATAAGTGTGGATTGTGATTTCTTGATGCATTAGGAATATTTTTTGTTCATAAGGTCTTCCTCCATCAGTTTTAGTACTTAGGTTATAGTTGATTTTATTAAGAAAAATCGTCCAATCTTGACATTTTGTGATTTTTGCCATATCACTAGAATCTAGTGATAGATAAATACGAAATAACTGTCAATTGTGATTTATTGATGCATTAAGAATATTTTTTATTCATAACGTCTTTCTCCATCAGTTTTAGTACTTAGGTTGTAGTTAATTTTATTAAGAAAAATCGTCCAATTTTGACATTTTGTAATTTATGCTATATCACTAGAAATTGGTGATAGATATATATGAAATACGTGTGGATAATGATTTCTTGGTGCATTAGGAGTATCTTTTATTCATAACGTCTTTCTCCATCAGTTTTAGTACTGAAGTTATAGTTGATTTTATTAAGAAAAATCGTCCAATTTTACATTTCGTGATTTATGCTATATCGCTAGAATCTAGTGATAGATAAATACGAAATAACTGTCAATTGTGATTTATTGATGCATTAGGAATATTTTTTTATTCATAACGTCTTTCTCCATCAGTTTTAGTACTGAAGTTATAGTTTATTTTATTAAGAAAAATCGTCCAATTTTGACATTTTGTGATTTATGCTATATCACTAGAATCTGATGATAGATAAATATGAAATAAGAGTGGATTATGATCTCTTGATGCATTAGGAATATTTTTTATTCATAACGTCTTTCTCCATCAGTTTTAGTACTTNATTAAATTGAGTTCATGAAACTGCAATTCTTTCCCTATTTAATCGTCTCTTTATCTCCGCTAGTTTTCAAGATCTCTATACTAAACATGCAAAAAAACTCATCCTGTATATATGTTAAATAAAATAAAAGCGCGACGTCAGTTTAGAACACATACTAGCCGCATGTCAATAGATTTGTACTATTGACATGTGGCTAGTATGTGTTCCAGACTGACGTCGCGCTTTTATTTTACCTATATAAAGAAATAAAGACGCGACGTCTAGTCTAGAACACACACTGGTGATAGATAAATTTGAAATAAGTGTGGATTATGATTTCTTGATGCATTAGGAATATTTTTTATTCATAATATCGTTCTCCATCAGTTTTAGTACTTAGGTTGTATTTGATTTTATTAAGAAAAATCGTCCAATTTTAACATTTTCAGATTTTTGCTATATCACTAGAAACTTGCGATAGATAAACATGAAATAAGACTGGATTATAATCTCTTGATGCACTAAGAATATTTTTTATTCATAACGTCTTTCTCCATCAGTTTTAGTACTTAGGTTGTAGTTGATTTTATTAAGAAAAATCGTTCAATTTTGACATTTTGTGATTTTTGCTATATCACTAGAATCTAGTGATAGATAAATACGAAATAACTGTCAATTGTGATTTATTGATGCATTAGGAATATTTTTTATTCATAACGTCTTTCTCCATCAGTTTTAGTACTGAAGTTATAGTTGATTTTATTAAGAAAAATCGTCCAATTTTGACATATTGTGATTTATGCTATATCGCTAGAATCTAGTGATAGACAAATACGAAATAACTGTCAATTGTGATTTATTGATGCATTAGGAATATTTTTTATTCATAACGTCTTTCTCCTTCAGTTTTAGTACTGAAGTTATAGTTTATTTTATTAAGAAAAATCGTCCAATTTTAACATTTTGTGATTTATGCTATATCACTAGAATCTGATGATAGATAAATATGAAATAAGAGTGGATTATGATCTCTTGATGCATTGGGAATATTTTTTATTCATAACGTCTTTCTCCATCAGTTTTAGTACTGAAGTTATAATTGATTTTATTAAAAAAAATCGTCCAATTTTGACATTTTGTGATTTATGCTATATCACTAGAATCTAGTGATAGATAAATACGAAATAACTGTCAATTGTGATTTATTGATGCATTAGGAATATTTTTTATTCATAACGTCTTCCTCCATCAGTTTTAGTACTTAGGTTGTAGTTGATTTTATTAAGAAAAATCGTCCAATTTTGACATTTTGTGATTTATGCTACATCACTAGAATCTGGTGATAGATAAATATGAAATAACTGTGGATTATCATTTCTCGATGCATTAGGAATATTTTTTTATTCATAACGTCTTTCTCCATCAGTTTTAGTACTGAGGTTATAGTTGATTCTATATACAGGGTGTACAGAAAGTATGGAATAATGGCTCTACAGCCTAAACTTCAACTTATATTAAAAAAAGTTTTAAATAACAGTTACTTGAAACTCTACTATACTTAACATAAAAATGATGACGGCAGTCTGAGTTACGACATGATGAGTGTGTTTTTTAAATGGAACAACCTGTATATTTTAAGGTTTTTGGATTCGTTTTGGAGATTATGAAATAGACAACCTAAGCCTTGACGTTATAGGGATGGGCGGAGCTTAAACCGACTCCAAATAGATTTTCAATAGACTGCCTAAGTCTTAAGCTTATACCGACTCCAAACAATTTCGTTGCTAACTACAGTTGCTAACATAAATCACCATAAAAATGCCATTTAAAATGTCACTTAGTTTATTCTATTTTAACACTAATAGACAACCTAAGCCTTGACGTCATAGAGATGGGCGGAGCTTATACTAACTCCAAACATTTTCGTTGCTAACTGTGTAGATGAAATTTATTTTATTTCTACGCCAAGATATGCGGAAAATAGTTTCAAGTAACTTTTATTTAAAACTTTTTTTAATACAAGTTGAAGTTTGGGCTGTAGAACCGTTATTCCACACTTTTTGTACACCCTGTATAGTTATATGTACAGAGTGTTTCAGGTTTTTGTAGCAGGACTTTAACAGTCGATAGATCTTTTAAAATTAACACATATAAACATAGATCGACAAACGTTTTGTTTTAGAGATTGTTTTTTATTTAATATTACACGTGTATTTCAACCGATTCTTTTCAAATTTGCTATACGGAGGTTTTTTGGCATAAGAAAGACGATTATGGAGTCCGTTTTACTATAGCCGGTAGAGGGCGCTCTGTAACGTATTCTTTACGGATTAAAATAACAATAACTTTTCTGACAGTATACTTTTTGGCTTTATGTCATTACAAGCATTCCTAATCCTATTAAAAGTTCATTTCTTGTGCGAACAGGAGTCTCATACAATTTTCCTTTCAAATATCTCCACACAAAAAAGTCTAAAGCATTAAGATCTGCAGATCGTTGTGCCATGCTATTTGTAGGAAAATGGTTNTGGATTTTGATTTCTTGATGCATTAGGAATATCTTTTATTCATAACGTTTTCCTCCATCAGTTTTAGTACTGAAGTTATAGTTGATTTTATTAAGAAAAATCGTCCAATTTTGACATTTTGTGATTTATGCTATATCACTAGAAACTGGTGATAGATAAATATGAAATAAGTATGCATTTATGATTTCTTGGTGCATTAGTTATCTTTTATTCATAACATCTTCCTCCATCAGTTTTAGTACTTAGGTTGTAGTTGATTTTATTAAGAAAAATCGTCCAATTATGACATTTTGTGATTTATGCCATATCACTAGAATCTGGAGATAGATAAATATACAATAAGAGTGGATTATGATTTCTTGATGCATTAGGAATATTTTTTATTCATATCGTCTTTCTCCATCAGTTTTAGTACTGAGGTTATAGTTGATTTTATATACAGGGTGTACAAAAAGTATGGAATAATGGTTCTACAGCCTAAACTTCACCTTATATTAAAAAAATTTTTAAATAACAGTTACTTGAAACTATTTTCCGCATATCTTGGCGTAGAAATAAAATAAAAATGATGACGGCAGTCTGAGTTACGACATGATGAGTGTGTTTTTTAAATGGAACATCCTGTATATTTTAAGGTTTTTGGATTCCTTTTGGAGATTGTGGAATAGACAACCTAAGCCTTGACGTTACAGGGATGGGCGGAGCTTATACCGACTGCAAACATCTTCGTTGCTAATTGTGTTGCTAACGAAAAATCCCCATATGCAATTATTCAATAGACTGCCTAAGTCTGACGTCACAGAGGTGGGCGGAGCTTATACCGACTCCAAACAATTTCGTTGCTAACATAAATCACCATAAAAATGCCATTTAAAATGTCACTTAGTTTATTCTATTTTAACAGTAATAGACAACCTAAGCCTTGACGTCATAGAGATGGGCGGAGCTTATACTAACTCCAAATCCCGTTGCTAACTGTGTAGATGAAATTTATTTTATTTCCACGCCAAGATATGCGGAAAATAGTTTCAAGTAACTTTTATTTAAAACTTTTTTTAATATAAGAGATTGAAGTTTGGGCTGTAGAACCGTTATTCCACACTTTTTGTACACCCTGTATAGTTATATATACAGAGTGTTTCAGGTTTTTGTAGCAGGACTTTAACAGTCGATAGATCTTTTAAAATTAACACATATAAACATAGATCGACAAACGTTTTGTTTTAGAGATTGTTTTTTATTTAATATTACACGTGTATTTCAACCGATTCTTTTCAAATTTGCTATACGGAGGTTTTTTGGCATAAGAAAGACGATTATGGAGTCCGTTTTACTATAGCCGGTAGAGGGCGCTTTGTAACGTATTCTTTACGGTTTAAAATAACAATAACTTTTCTGACAGTATACTTTTTGGCTTTATGTCATTACAAGCATTCCTAATCCTATTAAAAGTTCATTTCTTGTGCGAACAGGAGTCTCATACAATTTTCCTTTCAAATATCTCCACACAAAAAAGTCTAAAGCATTAAGATCTGCAGATCGTTGTGCCATGCTATTTGTAGGAAAATGGTTGTCTAGCTAATTTCTTAGCACTCTACCATGATAAGCTGCACAATTATCAAGTTGAAACGAAGCCTTTCTTTTTATAGCTAAATGAATGTCATTCCATATATTGGCATGTTCAGCTACCAAAAATTACAAGAACGCCGCAATGGTTAGTTGTGGTGGCAAAAAGTATTATAAACACCTACCCAGACGTTGCCACTAAATTCATGTTGGAAGTTTCTTGGCCGAATTGCGTAGGGATATCAAAACATGTAAATTGTGAAAGTTTACAATCCCATGTCTTGTGAAATTGTTCCATATTACGTTATTTAAAAAATCTCGATTGTTGGCAGATAGAATCGGTTAAAATACACGTCAACGTATACAGGTTTAGTATACAGGGTGTCTCACGTAACTGGTTCGTTAGAACTTTTTTAGGTTCCACTATTCATAGAGGTTTGAAATTTTGGTAGCATCGGTTGTTCATTCTAAACTTTCAATTTAAAATATTTTCAAGATTGCCACCACTTCCGGTCTACCGGAAGTAGACCACAACTTCGTTATTTTAAATGGAATGCTATAGTTTTTATTACACCTTTCAATTATACATAAAAAAATATGTTGACTTTGATAAAAGTTGTTGGTACCCACCATTTTTTGTTTTCGAGTTATTTTGATTTTAAGCTTTTTTTGGCAAATTTCACCATGCTCTTTAAAAGCCTATATCTCAGTTAACGTTCATTAAAAAAATCTCTAAATTGGCACGATTACTCTTCAGATGTTGCCAAATAGATTATCATTTCTTGTATCAGAGTATCTTATACAGGATGGTTAAAAATTGAATTACCGTTTCTCCATATTCAATGGCTAGAAAGTCGAAAATTTTAAATGGAATACCCCGTATTTTTTTACCCTATCAGAAAGGGAATTTAATTCACTACAAATTATCTATAAACATTCCTATACCTATTTATTGTAGTTTCCCTGATATTGGGACATTAATCAAAGCATGCACGGAATGCGGGAAAACGTTTGATTTTTTTATTAGTAGGAATGGAATTTTGACAGTTTTTCGTCCATATTTGTGTTATTGTTGTTGTTACTTACTTTTGATCACGAGTGAAAGTCATTGTATATCATGGCAAATTATTCCAACGCCGATATTTTAAAATTGTTTTATATTCATGGCAATGGCCTTCACGATCTCCAGATTTAACACCAGTATAAGATGAGAGATGTATAAGATTCTCTGATACAACAAATGACAATCTATTTGGCAGCATCTGTAGAATAGTCGTGCCAATGTAGAGCTTTTTTGAATGATTAGCTGAGATATGGGCTTTTAAAGACCATGGTGAAATTTGTCAAAAAACACTTAAAATCAAAATAACTCGAAAACAAAAAGCGCTAGGTACCAACAACTTTTATCGAAGTCAACATATTTTTTTACGTATAATATTGAAAGGTGTAATAAAAACTATAGCATTCCATTTAAAATAACGAAGTTGTGGTCTACTTCCGGTAGACCGGAAAGGGTGGCCATCTTGAAAATATTTTAGATCGAAAGTTTAGAATGAACAACCCATGCTACCAAAATTTCAAACCACTACGAATAGTGGAACCTTAAAAAGTTCTAACGAACCAGTTACGTGAGACACCCTGTATAGTTGATTTTTTTATACCACTAGAAATTGGTGATAGATAAATATGAAATAACTCTCAATTGTGATTTATTGATGCTTTAGGAATATTTTTTATTCATAACGTCTATCTCCATCAGTTTTAGTACTTAGATTATAGTTGATTTCATTAAGAAAAATCGTCCAATTTTGAGAATTTATGCTATATCACTAGAAATTGGTGATAGATCTCTAAAACTATACATAGAACTAGAATCATTTGGGTTTAGCTGCACGTCTCTAAAGACGGCTAAACCCGAATGATTCTAGTTCTTGGTNATTAAAAAAATTTTTAAATAACAGTTACTTGAAACTATTTTCCGCATATCTTGGCGTAGAAATAAAATAAAAATGATGACGGCAGTCTGAGTTACGACATGATGAGTGTGTTTTTTAAATGGAACATCCTGTATATTTTAAGGTTTTTGGATTCCTTTTGGAGATTGTGGAATAGACAACCTAAGCCTTGACGTTACAGGGATGGGCGGAGCTTATACCGACTGCAAACATCTTCGTTGCTAATTGTGTTGCTAACGAAAAATCCCCATATGCAATTATTCAATAGACTGCCTAAGTCTGACGTCACAGAGGTGGGCGGAGCTTATACCGACTCCAAACAATTTCGTTGCTAACATAAATCACCATAAAAATGCCATTTAAAATGTCACTTAGTTTATTCTATTTTAACAGTAATAGACAACCTAAGCCTTGACGTCATAGAGATGGGCGGAGCTTATACTAACTCCAAATCCCGTTGCTAACTGTGTAGATGAAATTTATTTTATTTCCACGCCAAGATATGCGGAAAATAGTTTCAAGTAACTTTTATTTAAAACTTTTTTTAATATAAGAGATTGAAGTTTGGGCTGTAGAACCGTTATTCCACACTTTTTGTACACCCTGTATAGTTATATATACAGAGTGTTTCAGGTTTTTGTAGCAGGACTTTAACAGTCGATAGATCTTTTAAAATTAACACATATAAACATAGATCGACAAACGTTTTGTTTTGGAGATACAGGGTGTTTAAATTAAATTTTTAAATTGCTTTTTATTTAATATTACACGTGTATTTCAACCGATTCTTTTCAAATTTGCTATACGGAGGTTTTTTGGCATAAGAAAGACGATTATGAGGTCCGTTTTACTATAGCCGCTTTGTAACGTATTCTTTACGGTTTAAAATAACAATAACTTTTCTGACAGTATACTTTTTGGCTTTTTGAATAAAAATACTTATTCTCTGCATTTTTTAAGCAAAAAGGGTCAAAATGCGCTAATTCATAATTCTGACCGACGAATTACTTATCGAGTAATGGTATTTAAGAACGGCTTTATGTCATTACAAGTATTCCTAATCCTATTAAAAGTTCATTTCTTGTGCGAATAGGAGTCTCATACAATTTTCCTTTCAAATTATCTCCAAACAAAACCTGTATATAGAAACACCCTGTATAGTTGATTTTTTTATACCACTAGAAATTGTTGATAGATAAATATGAAATAACTGTCAATTGTGATTTATTGATGCATTAGGAATATTTTTTATTCATAACGTCTATCTCCATCAGTTTTAGTACTTAGGTTATAGTTGATTTTATTAAGAAAAATCGTCCAATTTTGAGAATTTATGCTATATCACTAGAAATTGGTGATAGATCTCTAAAACTATACATAGAACTAGAATCATTTGGGTTTAGCTGCACGTCTCTCAAGACGGCTAAACCCGAATGATTCTAGTTCGTGGTCTAGCGCTTTACAACAATTAAAATGTTTAGTGTTAATTCTAGTTTTTAGTTTAAGATCTAACATCAGTTCAATAAAACTACACCATAACACAAAATTTGACTTCCTTTTAGATTCAACCATCCTTGATTACATCTAAATTAAAAAAACAAATTATTAACAAATTTTTTTTAAACATTTTAGAAAATTAGTAGACATATTTTTATGCTGCACCCAACTGGGATTTTGTTGCGTTTACTTCGTCTTCGTCGCCGCCAATCTCCACGACATCATCAAGCACTATTTCATCGATATACACGTGATTTGGTATCTAGTCATGCTTCTTTTCCCCATGATCCTGTTGAATTGGGTCAAAGAACTTAAATATTTGACCCCCGCTTCGCTTTTCGCGTCAATATTAACTTGTTCTGGGCTCGTTATCACTTTCTTTTACATGCTTCAAGGGCTTCCAAACACCTCGTCGGTTAAAGCATTTTCATCGTGGGGTCAATTACCGTTGTTTTTTGGTACTGCTATTTATGCTTTTGAAGGTATTGGTGTTGTAAGTATTAATTAAACAGTTTTTTGGGACATTTAAAATCAAATCTTTTTGTTTTAAGGTGTTACCATTAGAAAATAATATGAAAACGCCTCAAGATTTTGGCGGTTGGAATGGTGTTTTAAATACGGGTATGGTTATTGTAGCCTCTTTATATACAGCTGTGGGATTTTTTGGGTATTTAAAATATGGGGACGCTGCTAAGTTGGGAAGTGTTACTTTGTTGTTACCACCTGATGATATGTAAGAAAATTAATTAAATTCATAAACGTTTTATGATTATTTTTTGTGTTTTAGATTAGCACAATCTGTTAGGTTGATGATGGCAATAGCAATCTTCCTTTCATACAGCCTACAATTTTATGTACCATTCAATGTTGTTTGGCCTTCAGTAAAAAAACATTTACAAACTGATAAATCGATTCAAATTGGGGAATACGCAACGAGATCTATTTTGGTGGTTATAACCTTTGCTTTAGCAGCTGCCGTTCCTAATTTAGGAGCTGTTATTTCTTTAGTCGGGGCTTTTAGCAGCTCAGCTTTAGCGTTAATCTTCCCCCCAATTCTCCATATAATCACGTTTTGGCCAAACAAGTTGGGAAAATATTATTGGCAATTATACAAAGATTTGCTGATTTTGCTCTTTGGAATTATTGGATTTTTATTGGGGTCTTATGTAAGCATATTAAACATTTTAAACCCTGAAGAGAATGAATAAAAATGGATTTAAATTAATAAAAAAATCTAATTGTTAGCTGTGACAATAAGTAATGTATTTAGGCAACAATAATTATTAACTAGACAATAATTATTTGTGTTCACGTAACAAATCGTACAAGATATTCATCAAGTCTCTCTCTCTCGCTGTGTCTTCTTGCCAGTTGATCAGTATATTATAAAAAAATATTTTTGTCTCGTTTAATATTAAAAAAAAAAAACATTCCCGTGTTTTACCCACCTCAAAGTTGATCTGAATTGGATGATTACGGGGTTTTCTCATCAAGACAAGTTACCTTTTCTTTAACTTGCTAGAAGTGAGAGATCAGTATTACGATTTTTATTTGAATTTTTATTATATGTACATATTACCTATATATTTTTGTACTATATTATGTCTTTATAAAAAACGAACAAGTGTTATTTAAGTGTAAAATGAACTTTAAATAAATTATTTTCATTGTTTAAAAGTTTAATTCAATGAAGTTATGTTGAATAAATGATAAGATCTTAGAAAGAGGCTGTGGGAAGAAAAATGGTTTACAGAGGAGGTCAAAGAACTGCCAAATAAAAAACAGAAGGCATACTTAAAATACAGATCCCAAAACTTAACACTAGATGAATTTGAGGCTGTACAACTCTCAAAAACTCTACAACTCTGAGGGATCATAATAACGAAGACATCTTTGAAGAACTTTGCGGTGTCCAAGATATAGTTCGAACCATGTTGAGCTGAAAATTGCAAGGGATGGTATTCCAAGATCTCCTAGACTTAGACCCACAAGGTGGTATGGAAGCTAGAATTCAACATCCCAGCCACATATCTAGATTATAGAGTACAAGGCAAAAACTTTAAAAACAGGAAAAAGACAAAGATTAAAAAATTCGATTTAAATAAACTAATTAATTTAATAATAATTAATCTTGACAAACCTTCAAATTTGTGTGACAGCGCCATCTGTTATTTAAAATATAATTTATGAAATTAATGTTATTTACATTTAATTATTAAAATAAATTAAAATCTTGAATTGTTAAATGAAATTATTGAATCAATTAAATTTAAACGATTCTTTTCGGTTAAAATTATTTATTACGAATAAAAACTGACATTTAAAACTTAAAAGACATTTTATATTTGTTGCACTGCGCCATCTCTTAGTTAAATATGTTAAGTTGTGTTTAAATTTTTATTAATTATTAAAAAAAATGTTAAGATTTAAACAAATAATTTTTAATTGATAAATTATCAAAGTTTAAAGGAAATATTAAAATATGTAATAACAATAATCCTTTAATTTTGATGTTTTATAGCGCCATCTATTACTACTAAAATTAATTATTAATTAAAATAATTATTAAATTAATCCTGAAAAGTCATGATTTAACTTAATTTGATTTTTATTAAACGATTATTTTTAATTAGATAACTTAATACAATTATGCTATTTAATGAGTTTACGTTTATAATATTATTTATAATATTTTCGAGCGCCATCTATTAGTTAACAAATTAAAATCTTAATTAGTTAAAAATTTTTATTATTAAATATTATTCTTTTGTGGTTAAATTTATTTAATTTTTTATTAAATCTCCATTATTAATAAATAATAAATTTTTGATCTACAACTAACTTCATTAATAACAAACACCTGTCAAATAGATAACCTCAAATTTTTTCACATATAAGCGTTAAAATGCCTGTAGCTCAAGTAAGTAATGATATTTTAGTTAATTTCTTTTAAAAACACCTTTTTTAGTTAGCAGGTAATACAGATGAAGGTACTAGAAGCTTTGTTATTGATGGAATGTGTTAAAAACGATTATTGTATGCTAAAATTGTTATTATTAATCTATATTAATTAATTAATGAATTAGCCCAGATCCTGCAGAGAATAAAATCCTTGATGATATCCCAAGATCAAACAGACTTCCTTGACCCACAAGGTGGTATGAAAGCTGGAATTCATCATCTCAACCACGTATCTAGATTATAGAGAACAAGGCAAAGGTCTTAAAAAGAAGAAGATTCGATTTAAATAAACTAATTAAATAATTAATTTTGGTTAATTTTCACAGCGCCATCTATTATTTAAAGTATAATTTATAAAATTAATATTATTTACATTTAATTATTAAAATAACACATTAAAATCTTGTATTAAGTAATTTTCATCAATAAACAGTATTGAATCAATTAAACTTATTAAACGATTGTTTTCGGTTAAAATATTACCAATAAAAAATGACATTTATAATTTAAGACATTTTACAATTGTTGCACAGAGCCATCTCTTAGTTAAACATGTTAAGTTGCATTTAAATTATTAATTATTAAAAAAAATTAAGAATATAATTAATTTTTATTGATAAATCATCAATTAAAATATGTAATAACAATAATTTAATCTTGATATTTTATAGCGCCATTTATTACTAATAAAATTAATTACTAAATTATTAAACTAATCCTAAAAAGTCATGATTTAAATTAATTTGATTTTTATTAAACGATTATTTTTGATCAAAAGAACTTAATACAATTATGATATTTAAAGATTAAATTAATTTAAAAAGAAGAAGAATAAAAGATTCGATTTAAATAAACTAATTAATTAATTTTGGTTATTTTTCACAGCGCCATCTATTATTCAAAGTATAATTTATGAAATTAATATTATTTACATTTAATTATTAAAATAACACATTAAAATCTTGAATTAAACAATTTTTTATTAATAAACATTATTGATACAATTAAACTTGTTAAACGATTCTTTTCGGTTAAAATATTACAAATAAAAAATGACATTTTACATTTGTTACGCAGAGCCATCTCTTAGATAAACATGTAAAGTTGCGTTTAAATTATTATTAATTATTAAAAAAATGTTAATTAAGTTATGATTTAACTTAATTTGATTCTTTTTAAATTTATTAAACGATTATTTTTGATTAAAAAACTTAATACAATTATGCTATTTAAAGAGTTTACGTTTATAATATTATTTATAATATTTTCGAGCGCCATCTACTAGTTAAAAATATTAAAATCGTAATTCGTAAAAAAATTTAGTTATTATTATTCAATGTATACTTTTTCTTTTTTGGTTGAATTTATTTAATTTTTTATTAAATCTCCATTATTATTATCTTATATATTATTATTTATTAATAAATTCTTGATCTACAACTAACTTCATTAATAACAAACACCTGTCAAATAGATAACCTCAAATTTTTTCACATGTAACCTTAAAATGCCTGTAGCTCAAGTAAGTAATGATATTTTAGTTAATTTCTTTTAAAAACACCTTTTTTAGTTAGCAGGTAATACAGATGAAGGTAGTAGAACCTTTGTTATTGACGGGGAGGGTCATACGTTGGGGAATGCGTTAAGAACGATTATTGTATGCTAGTAAGTTAAAATTCTTGTTAATCTGTACTAATTAATTAATTGAATGATAATAAATTAGCCCAGATGTCGAATTTTGTGGATACACCGTTCCACACCCTGCAGAAAATAAAATCAACTTTCGAATACAAATGATGACTGGGAAAGGAAAAGCTATTGATGCTTTAAAACGTGGGTTAGCTGATTTAGCCACAGTGTGTGATGTGATGTTACAAAAATTCGATAATGATTTAGAATCTTACAAAGAACATTATAAGGTGTAATTTAGTGGTAATAAATAAAAAGATTATTGAACAAACACGTTTATTTTTCATATTGTGTATACAAATTATGGTTGAATGTAGTTAATTATTGCTAACATCAAACATACACTATAATTATTTTGTTACAATTAAGTACATTTCACGTTTTTTTTGTTTATTTTCATGTTTTCATTTAAGTAATAAAATAATACACAATGAAACATGATTTTTTTTGAAAATACACATCGAATCAATTAAGTAGCGACATTTTTATAAAAAAACAATCTTACTTATTTACAATAAGTTTGATTTATCTGGACAGATTTGCAATATATATTATAATACACACGTTTGGAGGGAATGTAACTTTTGTAAACAAATTTCGATTAAGTTCAAAACCTATTTATGGTTATTTAAAATTTTGAACATAATCGAATTTGTTAGAAAATTGCCATTGATGGCGTTAACAACTTGCCGGCCAAAATGTGCAAGCCTTGAAGCAATACTAAAGTTGATTTTTATCGATTTTTACGCAAAAAAAGATAAATTTAATAATTATTTATAATTATTAAATCTTTTTGTTACGTAAATTCGATTTTCATTTAAATTTAAGTGCTTTTTATTTGTTTTTATTACATATAAGCGCCAATTGAATCATTTAGTTTTTATTATGAGGAAAAAAATGTTTTAATTTTAAAGACTTAAGAGGCTAAAAAACGTAATAAAAGATGTTTAAAAATTTTTTATCTTTCCCACAATTTTTTTTGCAATAGTAAAAGCAATTATAATACTAATTAGACTCTAAAATCTACAAAAAACGTTCAACAAGAAAATTAAAAAATCACTACATTCTTCTCTATATGGTATCTATACAATATGCATACGTTAAAAAGGATTGCACAAATTAAAAGGATTAGAAAATAAAAGAGTTAACAAAAATATCTTTAAAGAATAGGACAAGAAAGTGTTTTTTTTTTGGGTGGTTTTTGTTACATCTACATAACAAACGATTTCTTTTACGATTTTTTTCTTTCATAATCATTAATTTAATTATTAATTTTGTTTAATCTAAAACCGATACGTTGTAAGTTAGATAGCACGGTGCCGTTCTCGATCGTTAGTAACGCTGTTGGAACTCGTGATGCCACCTATTGAAGTCAATGTGGAATACCACTATTGAACCTAAAGCTAGTCCCGCTAACAGGAATCTGCAACGAAAAAATAATAAAAGGCGGAGAAAAAAAAATTCTACGGCTCAGGCTGGGAGTTTATTTCGAAACTTACTTTTGATCATGCGACAAAGCGAGGGACCTAACGCTACTATCACACCCTGGAAAGGCGTAGAGCAATGCCAAATTGAAGGTTCTCCATACTTCTACGATTCCTTTATCACCACCAGTCATTAAATATTCACCATCTCTGCTTAATAATAGGCACTAGAAAAATTAATAAAAGTTGAAAATTTATGAATTGCTTTACCAAAGGTGTAACATATAAATATTTCATTCATTAAGGTGATTTCAAAGTTCTACTTTATCGTTTGTGGTCTGCAGATATACTTGGCAGTATGTTATCTGTAACATTTGTAACCATCAGATATGATTTGTAGTCTACAGCTATATCATGCAATCCATAATCTGTCTCCAACTACAATATTCAGTTTGCAGCTATAATTTGTTGTATAATCATTAGCCACAATCTGCAGTATTTAGGTTGTAGTCTGCAATTACAGCTTTCAGTACGTTGTTTTTAGATATAACTGGCAATATTCAATCTGCAGCTATGGCATGAAATATGAAGTTATAATTTCCAATCTGCAAAAAATCTATTGTTTATAGATTATTGCTGTTCTTTGCAATTTAGAATCTACAGCAACGACTTGCAATTTTTAATTTATAGTCCTTGTTTGTAGTCTGCAGTTGTAGATGGCAGTATGGTATCTACAAGATGTTCCTCTAAATCAGGGCATAATTGATTTAATTTTATTCCAATTATTTGCAACTATGACTTGTAGTCTGTAATTTTTAGTTTTCGCTTGTGGTCTGCAGACTACACATGGTAGTCTTCCATTAGCAATCATCAGGTATGATTTGTAGTCTACAGCTATATAATGCAATCCATAGTCCATCTGCAACTACAGTATTCAGTTTGCAGCTATAATTTATTGTATAATCTTTAGCCACAATCTGCAGTATTTAGGTTGTAGTCTGCAATTACAGCTTTCAGTACGTTGTTTTTAGATATAACTGGCAATATTCAATCTGCAGGTATGGCATGCAATATAAAATTATAATTTCCAGTCTGCAAATCTATTATTTATAGATTGTTGCTGTTCTTTGCAATCTAGAGTCTACAGCAACGACTTGCAATTTTTAATTTATAGTTCTTGTTTGTAGTCTGCAATTGTAGATGGCAGTATGGTATCTACAGGATGTTTCTGTAAATCATGGCATAATTGATTTAATTTTATTCCGACTGTTTGCAACTATGACTTGCAGTCTGTAATTTTTAGTTTTCGCTTGTCGTCTGCAGACTACAGATGGTAGTCCTCCATTTGCAATCATCAGGTACTATTTGTAGTCTATAGCTATATTATACAATCCATAGTCTGTCTGCAACTACGTATTCAGTTTGCAGCTATAATTTATTGCATAATCTTTAGCCACAATCTGCAGTATTTAGGTTGTAGTCTGCAATTACAGCTTTCAGAACGTTGTTTTTAGATATAACTGGCAATATTCAATCTGCAGGTATGGCATGCAATATAAAATTATAATTTCCAGTCTGCAAATCTATTATTTATAGATTGTTGCTGTTCTTTGCAATCTAGAGTCTACAGCAACGACTTGCAATTTTTAATTTATAGTTCTTGTTTGTGGTCTGCAATTGTAGATGGCAGTATGGTATCTACAGGATGTTTCTGTAAATCATGGCATAATTGATTTAATTTTATTCCGACTGTTTGCAACTATGACTTGCAGTCTGTAATTTTTAGTTTTCGCTTGTCGTCTGCAGACTACAGATGGTAGTCCTCCATTTGCAATCATCAGGTACTATTTGTAGTCTATAGCTATATTATACAATCCATAGTCTGTCTGCAACTACGTATTCAGTTTGCAGCTATAATTTATTGCATAATCTTTAGCCACAATCTGCAGTATTTAGGTTGTAGTCTGCAATTACAGCTTTCAGAACGTTGTTTTTAGATATAACTGGCAATATTCAATCTGCAGGTATGGCATGCAATATAAAATTATAATTTCCAGTCTGCAAATCTATTATTTATAAATTGTTGCTGTTCTTTGCAATCTAGAGTCTACAGCAACGACTTGCAATTTTTAATTTATAGTTCTTGTTTGTGGTCTGCAGTTGTAGATAGTAGTATGGTATATACAGGTGGTTTCTGTAAATCATGGCATAATTGATTTAATTTTATTCCGACTGTTTGCAACTATGACTTGCAGTCTGTAATTTTTAGTTTTCGCTTGTGGTCTGCAGACTACACATGGTAGTCTTCCATTAGTAATCATCAGGTATGATTTGTAGTCTACAGCTATATTATACAATCCATAGTCTGTCTGCAACTACAGTATTTATTTTGCACCTATAATTTATTGTATAACCTTTAGCCACAATCAGCAGTATTTAGGTTGTAGTCTGCAATTACAGCTTTCAGTACGTTGTTTTTAGATATAACTAGCAATATTCAATCTGCACCTCTGGCATGCAATATGATGTTATAATTTCCAGTCTGCAAATCTATTTTTTGTAGATTGGTGCTATTCTTTGCAGTGTGCAATCTACAGCAATGACTTACAATTTTTAATTTATTGTTCTGCTTTGTGATCTGCAATTGTAGATGGCAGTATGCTATATATAGCTATAATTTTTAGTCTTCTTTATATCTTATAGTTTCTAATCTTGTTTCTGCACCTACGACTTACACACTTCTAGATGCAACTTTAATCTGTAACATACAGTTATGATTTGCAGATTTAGCATTGATTTGTGATCTGCAGATGAAGTTGGCAGTATGCTATTTCTAGTACAAAACTGATTTAATATGGTCATCTGCAGATATAATCGACCATGTTCAATCTGCAGATATAGCATGCAAAATGAAGTTATAATTTTCAGTTTGCAACCTTCAATCTATTGTTTATAGGTTGTTGCTTTCCTTTGCAGTGTTCAATCCACAACAAAGACTTGAAATTTTTAATTTATAGTTCTTCTTTGTGTTCTGCAATTGTAGATGATACTGCCATATATATAGCTATAATTTTTAGTCTTCCATACATCTTCCACGTATCTCGAATTTGTTTTATGCAGTTGATCAGTTGATGCAGCTGATCAGCCGCTATAGTTTCTAATCTTGTTTCTGCACCTACGATTTACACACTTCTAGCTGTAACTTTAATCTGTAACATACAGTTATGATTTGCAGATTTAGCACTGATTTGTGATCTACAGATAAAGTTGCTAGTATGCTATTTCTAGTACAAAACTGATTTAATATGTTCAATCTGCAGCTATGGTATTCAATATGCAGCTATAATTTCTAGCCTTCTTTCTGTAACTTGACTTGCAGTCTTTTATCTGCAACTTTGATCTACAGGGTGCTAGTCGATCGAGGAACTGAGGCGAAAAATTTAAAATGTTGCGACTGCAATTCGAAATATTCGAAAATTTACATTAAATTCTATTGTTATTAAGTAATTGTTATTGTTATGGATTATTATCGTTACTTATTGCTATAGTTACTGTGTTTTATTGATTTTAAATGTTAACTTTAACAAAAAATTATTTTGGAACAATTAAAAGCAGATAACTTGGAAACCAGTAGACGTAGACAATTTAAGCAAGACTACCTATTTTGTGTACAATTGAAAGCTCTTTCAGATTTGTGGTTCTAATTCGTCATACCTCAACTGACAAAATAGTCATGACTTGATTTATCAAACGAGCAGTGTGTATCTAGCGCCTTTTACGAGCAATCACAAGTTTGTATTTCTCATACTCAAAAACATAAAACTACCAAATTTTGTGTTAATAGTACAAAAAGCTTCAAAATTGCTGTAATTATGATTTTCAATACGCTGCATGTACGCTGTATTGTGCTGTCTGCAACTATGACTTTGCAATCTGTAGCACTGCTTTGTGATCTGCAGTTATAGTTGACAGTATGCTATCTGTAGCTATAATTTGTAGTCTTCATTCTGCAACTTGACTTGTAGTCTTCTGTCTACAGCTTTCATCTATAATCTGTAGTTACGATTTGCAATACGCTGCTTGGAGGTATTATTTAGTCTGCTTGCAATAATTTGCATTGTGCTGTTAGTAACTATGACTTTGTAGTTTGTAGCATTGCTTTCTGATCTGCAAATATAGTTGGTAATACGCTATTTGTAGCCATAATTTGTAGTCTTTCATCTGCATCCACGATATACAGTCTGTATCTCGAATTTGTTTTATGCAGTTGAAAATTAATCAGTCGTTATAGCTTCTTATCCTCTTTCTGCAACTACGACTTACAGCCTTCTGGTTGCAGCTTTGATCTGTAACATGCAGTTATAATTTGAAATATGCAGTGTGGAGTTTGTAATTTGTAGCACTGCTTTGTGATCTGCAGATGAAGTTGGCAGTATGTTATTTCCTGCTACAGTTTCTAGTCTTGAAGCTGTCATCATACCTAAAATTTAATTTATTCAGTACAAAACTCTGTCTGTTGATATAATAGCTGATTTTCAATCTGCAGCTATAGTTTTTACCCTTCTTTCTGCAGTTTGCATTTGTAATCTGTAGTTATGATTTGCAATACGCTGTGTGGAGTATTATTTCGTTGCATTAATTTGCATTGTGCTGTTAGCAACTATGACTTTATAGTTTGTAGCAGGCTGTATCAAAAATTTGCTTTATACTGTATAAAACTAATCGGTAGCTGTGGTTTACAATATATTATCTATAATATATTGGCGTTGTTCAATCTCCAGCTATGGATGGCACGCAACATGCTGTTATAATTTCAAGTCTTCGTTTTGCAACTTGAATTTAATTTATTCAGTACAAAACTCTGTCTGTTGATATAATAGCTGATTTTCAATCTGCAGCTATAGTTTTTACCCTTCTGACTGCAGTTTTGATCTATAATCTGTAGTTACGATTTGCAATACGCTGCGTAGAGGTATTATTTAGTCTGGTTGCATTAATTTGCATTGTGCTGGCTGCAACTATAACTTTATGGTTTGTAGCACTGCTTTCTGATCTGCAGCTATAGTTGCAGGTATAGCTATCTGTAGCTATAATGTGTAGTCTTCCATCTGCAATCATGGTATACCAGGCAATATCTAAAATTTACTTTATACTGTATAAAACTGATCGGTAGCTGTGGTTTACAATCTGTAATACAGGGTGTTTCACTTAAAACTACCAGGCAAAGTATCTCTGGAATTAGTTGAGATATTGTAGTGT